CAAATGCTTACTTTGCGTAATGGGTTGAGCCGGCCCTGTGGATGGCCATCTGTCAGGGGTGCTTTGAACGCGATTGTCCTGCTTCTTGGCAGAATGGGGTTGGACTGGATGGCCCAAGAGGTCTCTTCCGATTCTATGATTCTAAGTAAACTCATAGGCCTAGCTATCTAATATTGGTAAAACCAAGTGGTAGAGAGGGAATCACTGGTAATAGATCAGGGATAAGAATTCTATGATTCTATATATAAACAGGGTTTGGGAAATGCTTTACTTTCCACTTCTGCAGTTGATTCTTGTGTCGTTTCCTCTCTAGCCACTCCATGGGGTTCATCACCAACATCATTAAGTACCATCGCTTCTGGCACATCCCAAGAAAAGTTCATTGCTAAGGTAAGCAGGACTTTTATATGGATCTTATAAATAATCATGGCCACGTTCCAACATTCAACCTTTCCTGCACCATCACCTGTAGCCCCAAAATCTTATCTGCAAGTTTATCATATGGGCGTGATTCCGAAGAAAAGTCTTGCTTATCTCCCAGGCGGGCATGAGTCAACAAACTGATGCATGTTGAGATGGGAACGTGAAAGAAAACGAACAAAAGCCCAATTGATGAGGAATCCCAGCCAGGCTCCTGTCGAATGAACTCACATTTTGGAAGATGCTCAGGTGCAAAGCGAGAAAGAGAGAGATTGGGATCAACATTTAGTTTCCCCTCCAGACATAGAGCAAAGAACCTGGACTGGCATTAACACTGTAGAGGCAGAGAGTCTCCAGGGGTTTGATTTCCATACCCTCTAAATGTCCTGATTTGGCAGGAATAGTCTTGATTGATTAAACTTTGCTTGTTTATCAAAAGCCTGGTTTTCTCTTCTTGCATTGTCGAAGGCTTTCACAACTGGAATCCCTGGGTTGTTGTAGGTTTTTGGGCTATATGGCCATGTTCTAGAAGCATTCTCTCCTGACATTTCACCTGCATCTATGGCAAGCATCCTCAGTGGTTGTGGGACCTCGCAACCTCTGAGGATGCTTGCCATAGATGCAGGTGAAACATCAGGAGAGAATGCTTCTAGAACATGGCCATATAACCCCAAAAACCTACAACAACCAATTTTCTCTCTTTCTTCCACATTTCCATTTTGACCTAAGCTGACTTCAATTGCAGCAAATGTATTTCAAAGTAAAAAAAAAGTAGTTTGTATCTAGCTAATTCACTAGGAAGAAGAAGAGAGGTAGAGAGGAATCTTATCCTTCCGCATAGATTCAGGCAAAAGCAAACTGCTGCAGCCTCTTCCAACTTGCTTATCCTTTCTCACATATAACTTTTTACAATCTCTGATGTTACTGTGTTCAGGTTTTCATTTGTGACATGTTGGAAGGGGTGGATTTTATACATTTTAGAGTAAGAAAGGAAGCTTGGAGTCTAGTCCCCAATCTCCAGTTCCTTATCGATGTTTCTGGAGCAACATTTTGAGGTGGGAGAGTGATAACAAGTCAAGTCCCTTAACGTGGTATAGTTCCTTATGACCATTCCAAGATCAGATGGGATTGGATGCATTTAGGTAGACAATACATCACTGAAAACTGAATTAATCTATTATAAGGTTATATTAAAACCAGCAGGAAATTCTGTTATGAGTTCATTGGGTCATCATTAAGGAGTCACTGGTGACGCAATGGGTAAAACCCTTCTACCAGCAGGTCTGCTGACCGACAGGTCAGCGGTTTGAATCCAGGGAGCAGGGTGAGCTCCCTCTGTCAGCTCCAGCTCCCCATGCAGGGGCATGGGAAAAGCCTCCCACAGGATAGTAAAGCATCAAACAACCAGGAATCCCCTGGGCAATGTCCTTGCAGATGGCCAATTCTCTCACACCAGAATGATTTGCAGTTTCTCAAGTTACTCGTGACACACACACACACAAATGGATTTATTCAGTTTTCAGTGATGTATCATCTACATAGAGCAGTGATTCCCAATCTTTTTTTTGACCAGGGACCACTCTCCAACATTAGCACCAAAAGGATTATGAATTGGTTTTTGGTCAACTTTAGATTTGATTTGGTGATTTGGGATGCTGATTAAGAAAATTGCATTGGATAGACCACATCAGACCACATCCACCTTGAGTCTCCTTGGGGAGATAGGGCAGAATACAAATAAAGTATTATTATTATTATTATTATTATTATTATTATTATTATTATTATTGGCTCTAGTTTCTGATATAGAAACATATCCCATCCAGTAGTCACCATGGTTTTCACTCACAGAAAGCCATATTTAATAATCTAGAGCTGATGTGGTCTATCCAATGCAATTTTATGGATTAGCACTCCAAATAACCCCAGGAACAGGTCCCAAAATGAAGACACAAAGGCACCCCACACTTGCAGGTGCCACATAGAACGGTTCCGCTCAGGAGGATTGAGGAGGAGGAGAAGCAGCAGTCAGGAGGCTTGATGTCATGCTTTCATGGGTAGTCAGCTTCTCCCCTCCCAACATCCCCATTGCCTTGGCACTATAAGAGGGTTCTGCTGGACCAGTCAATCTTTTGGTCAATGTTAGATTCGGTTTGATTATTTGGGGTGCTGAGTCAGAAAATTGCATTGGATATATCACACCATCTCTAGTTTCTGATACAGAACATATGCCATCCAGTGGTTGCCATCTGCTCACCCACAGAAAATCGTATTTAATGCGCCTCAGCACTATTTATTTATTTGTCGTGTCAGAGCAGCCAGTTCATTATATTACATTTCTAACAGGACAAAGCAAACAAACAGAAAATACACAACTGGTTAAATGTCCTTTGACCAGTATCTGGCCACTTGGAGTGCTTCCGGTGTTGCTGCAAGAAGGTCCTCCATGGTGCATGTGGCAGGGCTCAGGTTGCATTGCAGCAGGTGGTCAGTGGTTTGCTCTTCTCCACACTCGCATGTCGAGGATTCCACTTTGTAGCCCCATTTCTTAAGATTGGCTCTGCATCTCGTGGTGCCAGAGCGCAGTCTGTTCAGCGCCCTCCAAGTCGCCAAGTCTTCTGGGTGCCCAGGGGGGAGTCTCTCATTTGGTATCAGCCATTGATTGAGGTTCTGGGTTTGAGCCTGCCACTTTTGGACTCTCGCTTGCTGAGGTGTTCCAGCGAGTGTCTCTGTAGATCTTAGAAAACTATTTCTTGATTTAAGTCGTTGACGTGCTGGCTGATACCCAAACAGGGGATGAGCTGGAGATGTCTCTGCCGTGGTCCTTTCACTATTGGCTGCTACTTCCCGGCGGATGTCAGGTGGTGCAATACCGGCTAGGCAGTATAATTTTTCCAGTGGTGTAGGGCGCAGACACCCCGTGATAATGCGGCATGTCTCATTAAGAAGTACAGAACCTGTATTACTGAAGAGAATTGCACTAAGCATAATAAGATACAGACTACACCCTGAGGAAGATATTGTTCGAAACAAGGATAAACATACCGGAAGACCTTGTTGAGATTTTGTTGCCTATGAAAGACCTTGTTGCCCAAGAAGAATTCCTTGAGACTGTCTTATCAAAAGAAGAATTTTTTTTTTTGAAGATAAAGATAGAGACTCTGGAATTTCTTCACTGAAAGGATGGACTCTATTACCTTTAGTCTGTTGTTGATTTCTCTATGTTAATGTGCTGATAACATATTTATTTAATGCTATAAAGTCTCAGACAAGTTATGCCAATAGAGAACATAGAATACTGTTGTATATTACTGTCTTGAGAGTCTGCTAAGATTTACATACATACATTTTTGTTCTTTGTCTACTTCCCGGAGGATGTCAGGTGGTGCAATACCGGCTAAGCCGTGTAATTTCTCCAGTGGTGTAGGCCCAGGCACCCCGTGATAATGCGGCATGTCTCATTCAGAGCCACACCCACTGTTTTAGTGTGGTGAGATGTGTTCCACACTGGGCATGCATACTCAGCAGCAGAGTAGCACAGCACTATAAGAGGGTTTCTCGAGACCAGTCACTCTCATTGCGATGGTTTGGTAATGGTGAGGCTGTGGACCATATTTTAGTTCTTGTGGACCACTGGTGGTCCATAGACCACAGGTTGGGGACCACTGACCTAAAGATATCCAATTTCATCTGATCTTGGAAATGAAGAAGGTCCACCCTGGTTAGCATTTGGATAGGAGACCATCAATGAATACCAGGTAGTTTATTCCAAAGGTTATATTCCAAAGGAATGTACAACAAAGCCACTTGAAATTCATGGCATTGTCTTATGTCAACAGGCAACTTGGAGGCACATAGTTTATTTGTTTATTTATTTATTTGGGGTTCTTTTACCCCGCCCTTCTCACCCCGAAGGGGACTCAGGGCGGCTTACAGAAGCAAAGGCACAATTTGATGCCTGCATCATAAAAACAATCATACACAAAATTACATCAATTCACAGTTGACAACAATTCATACATTATAACAATAAAATCAATAAAATCAATAAAACCAATACAAACCCAGTTTCTCCTCTTACATGGGCAGCGTTCGCTAACTCATAGATCTAATTTAACGTTCCACTTCATCAATCCTGTTGATCTTACTTGCCTGATTGTCTGATTTAATTGCCAGAGTGCCCAAAGGCCTGGTCCCATAACCACGTCTTCACCCTTCTCCTGAAGACGAGGAGGGATGATGATGCCCTGATTTCCCCCGGGAGTGAGTTCCACAGGTGAGGGGCCATCACTGAGAAGGCCCTGCACATGTTCTATATTCATATGAGAAAGTTAAGTCCACTGGATTCTTTTGAATAGCATTGCCCCGAATCTTGCAGCCAACATGGTTAATGAGATGACCCAATTAATTGCTTCCAAGATCTCCACCATATCTATAGAAAGATATGACCTACAGTGCCATATTTAGCCTTGTACTCAGAGGACTGAAATGCTAGAGGTAGCAACACTGAAAGGGTTACGTTTTGGAGAACAGCTCTCAAATCAAGTCAAAGTCTCTGAAAACATCTGTGTTGGCCTTACCTGTCTGTTGAAATCCAGGCCATTCCTTTCAATTCCTGCAAGAGAAAAGAAGATCACAGAATGAATCAGGATTGTAACTATGTGGGAAATAAAGGAGGAAATATGTAAACACTTGATAAATAGATAAGTAGGATTCCAAAATGTACAATGTGTTAATTACGCAAAAAAGCACAAAGATCTCGGTTGCCGTTCTATTTACCTTTCCTTAGGAGCAACTTACACTGAATTCAGTAAGTCTTATTTCTCAGAGAAAATATCTAAGACTGTATTTTTATCAATCTAACTATTTTCTTTTCTGCACAATGTTATGTTAATTCTTGCCTAAGTCTTGAGATGGGGTGGAGAAGACAATGATAATAATGATAAATGATATATCATTAGAAGGGCAGGGATCTATGTTTTGAAAAAAAAACCCAGTACTTTGCTTTGTTTTAATTTATGTCTCATTTTGCTTTCGAATTAGGACAAGCAAACACACTCAAAAATATTGGAATTCCTTTCAAATCAGCCTTTGAGTTTCTTTCACATAAGTCCAGCCTTATTGTTGATCGCCTTGGAAGTTGATCTTCTTCTCACAGATGAGATCAGCTGTCCTCAACTGGGAGAGGGCAAAATAATTACTGTTTACCCTTTCTGCACAACACTTTAGGGAACAAAATACTCCACAATTCTTATCTCGTCGCCTGTCGCAATAAACCTGCAAGGTAGGTTTGGGCGAGAGATAGTGGCACGCTCAGGGCCTGGCCCATGTGAAGTTTACAGAAAAGGACAGATTCGAATCTGGGTCTTGCCAAGTGTGAGACCAACACATTGCCCGTTGTGTTTGCCAGGCCTCAACCATAGACATAGAGTAGATTTACCAAATCAGCTACTGAATAGTGAGCCAACATTAGGTAATTCCTGTTGATTTGATGGGTCATCTCTGGATAGAACTACCAAACAGTAGGGACGCAAAATTCCAGATGCTGCTGCATGCAACTCCCATCAACCCAAGCTAGCAAAGGCAGTGGTGAGGAATGCTGGGAATTGTAATCCAACAGCATAGAGAATGATGCATGGTTCCCACCTCTGAATGATAACAGTCATGCCATCATCTATTTATCTATATTTATTGGCAGGTATTCACACCTAAACAAGTCTTGCCTGCAGTTGCCAAATGGTTCTGGTGCCTCATCATGCTACAATTCCCCAAATTCCATAGCATTGAACCATGGCAGTTAAAGTGGCATCAAACTACATTAATCCTACAGTGTAGACACACCCTTGGATTCTCTAAGTCAGGGGTCCTCAAGCTTTTTAAACAGAGGGCCAGTTCACAGTCCCACAAACTGTTGGAGGGCCGGATTACAATTTGAAAAAAACATGTATGAATTCCTATGCACACTGCACGTATCTTACTTGTAGTGCAAAAAACACTTTAAAACAATACAATAATTAAAATGAAGAACAATTTAAACAAATATAAACTTATTAGTATTTCAATGGGAAGTGTGAGCCTGCTTTTGTCTTTTGAGGTAGGATTGTTGTTGTTGTGTGCTTTCAAATCATTTCAGACTTGGGTTGACCCTGAGTGAGGGCCAGCTAAATGACCTTGGTGGGCCGTATTCGGCCCTCGGGGGTTAGTTTGAGGACTCCTGCTCTAAGTCCTCCAGCATGATTCTACAGTCAAAATTTGGTTGACATTGATCGTAGAATTGCATTGGAAGACCTACAAGTATCCTTTCTAGAAGTCTTTAGGACCTCCAGCTCAATTTTATTTATTTTTTTCTGATGAAATCTGACCGTAGAGTTGCACCAGATGGACCTAGATAATTCAAGAATGGATGCATTATTCAAAGCCATGATTAATCAAACCTGAAAAAGTTAAACCAGCAAATATATAGAGGATCATCTATAAACTGCCCTGAGTCCATGGTCAATTGGATGGTACAACAAACAATCAAAGTAAAATTGGATTAGAAAATGCAATCAGAAGAATTGGATTAGAAAAGCAATAAAATGGATTGTCATGTTTGGGGCAGTATGAACATTGGCAAGAAATTGAACCCAGGGATGGACGATAGACTTCTACAACTATGTGTCCATCACCTACAATTTCCCAACCACTTTAACCGGGATAGTCAAAGGTGAGGGTTTGTGGGAAATGAAAGCTCTGCAGGGATAGATGTTTTTGGATTTCATGAATCAGCATATGTTTTAAAACTAAAGTGTGATCAACTAAATTTTAAAAAGCTTGAGGGACCTCTAGAAGCTTCAAAATAACTTCTAAGGGCTGTACTGTGCCTGCCGTGATCTGAACATTACATAGCATAAGATGAGAGAATCTTTCTTTTGGACAGCGTCTTCTCACCTGCCAGGTGAGGAAAATTATGTCTTTCGACCCACCCTGTGAAAAAATTGATCTCCTTGGATCTGCAGTCCTAGATTTGTTTACCTGTGAGAAAGCCCTGTATGAACCTCTCCAGAGGCATGCATGGGCTTGAAATGTGCCTGGAGGAAACCAGGTAGAACATCGCCAAGAACGGCTTCATGTTGCTCACACTGTAGTGTGCCCCATTTGCAATATGATTCCTTCACACACCTTTACTGAAACTGAGAGGGTCCAGAACTCTATCTCTTTTTGTCATTCAAGATGTGGAATGGGCTAAGAATGGCTTTGGAGTGCCATCTCCCCAAAGCATAGGAATGAAGACTTTGGACATGTCTCTTGCATTGGACTGGATGGTCCTTATGGTCTTTTCCAACTCTATAATTCTATGCATCCAGGTCTTCCAGTCCCTGGCAGTTGATGCCCAAATACAGATGGTGTAGACCTATAGAGTCAACCTAGGACCTTAGTTATGTTGTGTAGATAAATAGTTGCCTGTTGACGTATGGTGACCCCATAAATCTCATAAGGTTTTCTTTGGCAAGGAGTACTCAGAGGTAGTTTGGCCAGTTCCCTCATCGGAAATATATTCTACAGCAGTGGTTCTCAACCTGTGGGTCCCCAGATGTTTTGGCCTTTAACTCCCAGAAATCCTAACATCTGGGATTCCTGTGAGTTGTAGGGCAAAACAACTGGGGACCCACAGGCTGAGAACCACTGATATAAGGTACAGTAGAGTCTCGTTTATCCAACCTTTGCTGGTAAAGTGGCTGGGATTTCTGGGAGTTGTAGGCAAAAACCACAGGTTGAGAACCACTCTTCTACAGAGCCTGGTATACATTGATGGACAACCATCCAAGTACTAACCAGAGCTGACCCTGCTTTGCTTCCAAGATCAGATAAGGTCTAGTGTCAACAGGATCTTTATACCACTCAGCTTGACACCACTTTGACTGCAATGGGATCCTGGGATTTTTAGTTTGGTGGAGCACAAGCACTCTTTGGCAGAGAAGACTGGAGTGCTTGCAAAATTAGAACTTTCATGATCACATCAAGTCATGGCAGTTCAAGTGATGTCAAGATACATCAATTCTACAGCGCAGATGGACCCATAAATCAATCCTGTTGGTTCAATGGGTCTTGCTGGTGTAGCCATCCAATTGGGGCACGCATACCAAGGCTTCCACTGCCCACCAGATTGATCCGGAACAAGATGCAACAAGCGGAACCCAACAAACAAGGAGAAAGAGAGAGGAGGGTTGGAAAAGGGAGGCCAGCTGCAAGATTAGGATCGGGTGTGTGGCTCCAGGTGGCCTTTACACAACTCCACGGATCCTGTAGGCAGCACTTTGGTTTGGGGTTGGCTTTGTTGTTATTATTATTATTTTAAATAAGGTACTCCCAGTAAACAACATTTGTGTGGACAAACAACATTGGCAGGGGCAGAACTGGAACAATAGGAGGCTACTTTAGATCAAGCCTGGCTCTCTTATCTTTTATCAATCAACCCAATATTATCAGTTCTGTGTCCTCCCCACGTTCTGAGCAGAAAATCTTTCCTATCACTTGCTTAATGTTTGCATGCTGCAAGTCGCTTCTGGTTGCTTCTGGTTGCAATGCAACCAGAGCCCTGCTACATGCACAATGGAGGACCTTCTTGCGGCAATACCAGAGGCACTCCAAGTGGCCAGATACTGGTCAAAGGACAAGCTTGCAAATTTTGTGTTTTGTATGTTTGTTTGTTTTGTTCTGTTAGAAATGTAATACAATTGTCTGGTTGCCCCTGACATGATAAATAAACAAATACTTGCTTAATGGTTTTGAATATGATCAAAAATGTGTTACTTCATAGACTGACTTCTATGCTTTTAATTCCAAGCAAGATATACTGAAACCCACTTTTCTACACAACCATTAAAGGTACAGAAGCTCTCTTCAGTTTTCTCTCCAGCACTGGCAAATCTGCTTCAGATTTTATTCCAAATTGTACAGGAGTCATGCAAGCAGTTGAATCCCAATCTCCTAATCGGCTCAGGTCAAGTTCAGTCTAAAACCCAAAACAGGTTCAATGTCCATCTCCAAAGATAGCCACTACCACCTGATTTTTAATAGGATTATAGGTGGAATCTTGGCCACATGAAACAAGATTTCTGGACTTGAGCTACCATCTAAAAAGCATTGCCGCTAGAACGGCCATATTGGTAAACACAAACATTAGACTGAGAACATGCCTCCATCCAAAGATTCAGACATAAATCTATATAAATAAAAATGTAATGTTCGTTTGTGGGATCAACATAACTCAAAGACCACTGGACGAATTGATATGAAATTTGGACACAAGACACCTATCAGGCCAACAAGTGACCATAACTCATAAAAACACTGAAAAACACAGCAGAAAAGACTGAAAAAGCCACAAAAATAAAAATACATTACAACGCATGCACAAAACCACATATATATATACACACATACACACCCACACATATATATATACACACAAAACACATATACACAGACTGGGCCACAGCAACACGTGGGAGGGGGTGGCTAGTTAATATATTTACTTCTAACTTGTTAGGGGCTGCAGTGGTGCAATTGGTCAAACCCCTGCTGAGCTGCTGAGCTGAAGATTGGCAGTTAGAATCCATGGGACATGGTGAG